ATCACAATAGTCCAACACGAGTGGACTACAAAACAGTCCACTAAAAGTAAAATAAATCGAACTCACGGCTTCTGATCACCGTCCCGTGAGTTCTAACTATTAGGAAACGAATATATCAACCTTCTTTCATATATAAAAGCTTAAATACAGAAAGTATATGTTTTATTAACTATGCAGTACCTTCCAAAACTCAAACTACACAGAAAAAGATAAGCGATATAGTGATACTTACGTCGTAGGGATCGTTCTAATGTTATCGCTTCTTGATTTCGTACCCGAGATATTAATCTTCTTTGAAACCCTAGAAGAGAACTTAATGATATGTTTATGGGTGTTATCTGGTCGTTTTCTATGGGAAAATGAAGATAAAGACGACCTAAGACCTTAATATATCAACTTTTGAAAAGTCAAAGAGGTGCTAGCTTGGCACCCTATCATTGGCCCTTCTTCCGATGCTTATATCATTTTATCTGGATGTCGTATAAATGAACGGTTAAAAGCGTTGGAAACTACATTCCAATACCTTCCATTTTGTATATAATATATCCCAAAAATATGTCATATAACACATGAAATGTATTTCTTAAAAAGCTTCAGTGACACACCTACTTGTCACCTATGCAGTCTGCATAGTCTCGCAAAACTGAAAATATCTCTCTACTCCAATGTCGTATAAACAAACGGTTCAATGCGTTAGAAACTAAACTCGTAGATCTTCAATTTTATATATGTATCATCCCGTAATTCCAAGTATATTGGGAGAAAAGCTCCGCTACATTTGACCTAATTTTCAGCACATTTATGAATGTAACTCGTGATGAGTTTTTCCAACTTTTGTTCCACAACTCGCTTGAATTTAAAACATAACTCACGGCTATCATATGCCTAAACTAACTCATAACATAACCTCTTTATCATGTTAATCACCCTATTCTTATCCCAATATTACATGTTATAATATTCCCAACTTGTCGACTTTCGACGAAACTTATTTTCTTCAGTTTGTTTAGCTTCTAAGTCTTTCAACCCTCTTGGTATTTGTTATCTATGATTTTAAAGATTTTTAACCTCCAAGGTAACATGATTAACTTACTATATGTACTTTAAAAAATGATGTCATTTCTGAGCTTACATCAATTGTCTTACAATGTACTCTTACGTACAAAAATATGGGATGTAACAAAAGGATTATATCCCATCACAACTCCGCTGCAATGCGTGCCCCCATCCAAACATCGGTCCTATGCGCAAACCTTCTCTTTGACCAGAACCGCATCTACGATCCTAGGGATGCTTCTGCGGCTCCGCACCTGCGGCCATTCCCTCGCAGGTACGGTCGCACCAGACCTGACCACACTAGCTCCTCCAAAACTCCAAAATTTAGTCTGATTTCGATCCGAATCACCCCGAGGCCCCCGGGACCTCAACCAGACATACCAACAAGTCCTAAAATATGATACGAACTTAGTTGAGCCTTCCAATCTCATCAAACAATGCTAAAACTACGAATCGCGCCTCGATTAAATCCTAATAAACTTTTGAACTTCCAACTTCTACATTCGATGCCGAAACCTATCAAATCTCATCCGATTGACCTCAAATTTTGCACACAAGTCACAAATGACACCAAGGACCTACTCCAACTCCCCTGAACCCCAATCCGAGACTAGTAACCACAAAGTCCACTCTCGGTCAAACTTTCAACTTTCGTCATTTCAAGCCTAATCCAACTATAGACCTCCAAAACACAATCCGAATTCCGTAGTCGTTTATACATAAGTCAACATTCGGTTGACCTTTTCAACTTAAGCTTTTCACCTTGAAACTAAGTGTCTCAATTCATTCTGAAACCTCTCCGTACCCAAACTAACTACCCCGACAAGTCATATAACAACTGTAAAGCACAAAATGAACAGTAAATGGGAGAACGAGACTGCAACTCTCAAAAGGACCAGTCGAGTAGTTACACCTGCACTCACTGCTGGTATGTCAGACTCCGGAGGGGCGGATCCTGCCCAAGCGCTAATATAAGCCAACATGACATGTTGTGTCTTGCAACCCGATCCTATCATGAATCAATAAAACCTGTTGTGGCATGCAGCTCGATCACATCAATAATAATAAAGCCTATAAGTCCTACTGCGGCGTGTATATAAAGCCAATATGACATATTGCGGCGTGCAGCCTGATCCCATCAATTATAATAAAGCCTATAAGGCCTGCTTCGACGTGTATATAAAGCCAATATGGCCTGCTGCGATGTGCACCCCGATCCATAATATCTCTCACAACACGGCTCTTAGGTCCCAACTCAGTCATCAATCTCTCCAACCTCTCGGGCTCATAAATCTCATGCCAATCAACCCAAGCAATGATAACATGATGTGACAACAAAGAATAACAGAGACTGAGATATGATATGCGAATGAATGAATATGACTGAGTATGTAACTGCAATTTAAGCAAATAACTCAAGAGTAGAGATGACCTCAGTGGGTCCCAATATAATCAGCATATAGCCTAAATATGATTTCTAACATGATTCGCATCTCAATTTCTCTAACACGTAGAAAGTTCATAGATAGAAACAAGATTATATAACTACATAGTATCACAGAATCAACAGAGTCATAATTCACACGTTGCACGTCCACACGCCTGTCACCTAGCATGTGTGTCACCTCAACACCAAACACATAACACATATGTTCAGGGATTCATACCCTCAGCACCAAGTTTAGACGTGTTACTTACCTCGAACAAGCCGAATCCAATACCGAGCAAGCCAAACAATACTCCAGAAATGCCATCCCACGCGTACCGACCTCCAAACGGTTCAAAACTAGCCAAAAGCAACTCAAGAACATCAAATAATAGTAACAAAAAAAACCCAATCGATAAAGGTGGAATCTTTAATCAAAAGCCTAAAGTCAACAAAAAAGCCAAGCTCGGACCTGCACCTCGGAATCCAGCGTAACTCATAAAATTCGACAACCCATTCGATTATGAGTCCAACCATACTAGTTTCACTCAAATCCGACTCTGAATCGATGCTCAAATCTCAAAAATTCACTTTATGAAATTTTAGACAAAACCCCTCAAATTTTCACTTTGAAATCATCAATCAAATTCAAAAAATGAAGATGGATTCATGAAATATAATCAAAATCGAGTATAGAATATTTACCCCAATCCATGTAGTGAAAATTGCCTCCAAAATCGCCCAAACTCGAGCTCCCCAACTCAAAATAGACCATAACAAACCCTCGATATTATATATTTTTGCCCAGCCATTCTGCCTCGTTTCTTGTGCCAAACGATCTCGAAACTCTCTTTTGATACCTTTAATGGATTTCTCGTGAAATTCTAGTCAAGTTAAGCTTTTGAATCACTCCATTTGACCTTATAATGAAGGAGATATGTTTGTTTTCAATATTTGGAAATAATGCTGATTTTTAAATACGAATTCAGTGGTAATTTCGTAATTAATCTGAAAAACAAAATGTACATAGTTGTTTCAGCTGAAAAATCCGGCAACCCAATTCTTAGTAAAATGACCATAAATTTTTCATACGATGTTGAAACTTGATAATTTCAGTTGCTATGGTTCCAAAATTACGATACGGATATAATGGTTTAGTCAAAACACGAATCAAGGGTTGTTTGCTCAATATGGTAACCTTTATGCTCAAATCAATGTCGAAACCCAAAACAATCACCATACAACCCAAACCTATCCAAAACTCATCGGAATTCAACCAAACTTTGTGGACATGTCCAAAATAATCATACAAACTTATTGGAATAATTAAAACCCGATTCCGAATCCGTTTACCCAAAAGTTAAACCTTGGTCAACTCTTCCAACTTAAAGCTTCTAAAACGAGAATCATTCTTCCAAATCAATCCCGAACCGCTCGAAACCGAAACTAACCATGCACGCAAGTCATAACACATAATATGAAGCAACTCAAAGTCTCAAACCACCGAATGGAACGCTAAAGCTCAAAACGACCGGTGAAGTCGTTACATAAATCTATCTTATAAATCTATTGAGAAGATTTTAGATCTATCAAGAAGTTCGAGAAATCAATAATAAAGTAGAATTTCTATTTCTCAAAATCCTTAAGACTAAAATAATGTATTCAATATCACATGATGACTTGCAATGTACTATTTAGTATTTAAGAACTTTACACATTAAAAGATAAAATTAATTCATAATATTAGGTTAGATTATGGGGTTTGTCCTATTATTTAAAATTAAATCAAAGTCTAAAATAAACATTTCACCAGATAAAAATTTGAATGTTTTATAGTAAAAGAGATAGCAGTGAGTTGGGTTTAAGCATAATAAAAGAAGTTGAATTTTGAGTTATGCTTTTCTTGGTGTTGGCTCACATTAGAACATTGTTACGCTAGAAATCATGATTTAAGGTAAAATATCTTCGAGTTTAAAAAGACTTTTTTCCTTTTAATTAGACGTCATTAGAAAATTTTAATGCTAAAACGTAAGTTATACAACAAAAGAGATAATAATTTGATGCCTTCTTCTTCTTCAACAAGCTGATTCCACCGCTTTATCTATAACTAGCAAATTGCGAATTAATTTACAATTGATAGTAATCGTGTAGTGAGTAAAGTATAAAACCTTAAAGTAATATAATGTTGGTCGATCCTTTTTTGGTAACTAAGTTAAGTTATACTTACACTCTATAAAGCTGAAATTTAAACTTGAAATCAGCTCCATATTTGAATTTCTCAAGTTGAATATAAATTATCAAACCTATTTACGTTTAAAAAATGCACATCTATTGGGAGTATAAAAAAGTCTTATTGTCCGTTATAAAGTTTCATTTTTGAAGGGACTATATTATCTAATTTTAGCATACTTCTTTAAGAATAACTAGTATTCGTACCAGCGCGTTGCGCGGAGAATGAAAAAAATAAAATAAATATAAGAAAATTTTACTTGAATAATACGGTAGACATGAAGGAGCATGAAAGAAATCTGATTTTGTTATTCATTGATTCCTTATATATGTTGGGTCTTGTTGCTTTCATATATTTACATACATAATCAACACACATTGTGTGTTTCAAACAAAGAGAAAATCAAGAAAGATAGCATACATAATTTACTTATAGCTTCTAGCTAATACTGTAAAGCAAATTTTTGGGCTTTACCATTCTTAGATAAACCTTTGCCTATATGCACGAAGAAACGAAAATGTTAGTGAAATTAACTACTTATAGAATTGATGTGATCCAAATTTACTTTGACAACTCTAGTTCTTGCTCTTGACCATCACGAAATTGATGACTCGTGCTTCTCAAGATCAAGAAATGAAATAGAAGTGTGTTCGACTTATGCCAACTGTAATAGCTTCCACCTGTAACAAATCGAAAAGGGTATTAGAAAAATCTGAAATCAATACAACGTTATTTTAATAGAAAGGAAATCAAAATACATACCAACTTTATTGAATGAATACTGTCTTATATGTTAATTTTCGTCGCGTCCTAAAGTTTTTGCATACTTTCTTCAAATTTATAGTTGTCTCATGTTCTGTGCTACTACTATATGCCAAAAGCTGTAAGATTTGTCATGTTTTTCCTTTAAGGAGAAGGACGTGACAAACTTATTAGTTTGGGAATGTTAAGCAAGTGTTTATAATGGACTGTATAAGCTTGCTAGAGAAAAGTAGATGCACGAAAACAAACGTGCATTTTCAATCAGCATTTTATGGTCCTTAAAAACACACGTTTCACAAGATATTACCCGAGTTGAGAAAATTCCAATTAAATGAGCTTTTTGGTCATTAGTCGCGGCTTCAACAATACATAACTTTATGAACGCATCATGTGTACCTTCAAGTTGAGAATAAATACTGGAAAGTGTGAAGAGGCCTTAACCAAAAAAAATGATATAGAGAGATAAGAATGATAACTACTGACCAAATATACACCAGATTTCTTAACTGATAAAATTGTGTCATGTGTTTTAGAATAATAGTTTTTATGATTAATAAAAGAGTAAAGAGACAATTACGGTTGCAACTTGTTGAAGAAGGATAAGACTGAGTCGGCACTCTGTTAGACATCAAAAGGAACGTATCCTAAATATTTCATTTCAGATCTCAAAGAATAGAATACCAAGATAAGAGAACTATGGATGACCTAAGAATATACAGTTGAATATGTATGACTTTTTGTGTCAGCTTTATATTTATTCTAAAGATATGCTTTAAAAATTACCTTGCAACAGTTTGTTGCTGTGTAGTACAGTAATTTTAGAAATCAGAGATATTTATTTAAGCAGTCAGAGATATAAAATGATAATGTGAAAACTTTTTTTAAAAAATTGGTACTATTGAGAGGTGTGAAAACCTTTTCTCAGTCTAAAAGAAGTATTGCCATAATCCAGTTAACGGAACTGAGCAAATCCTAAGAATTTTCATAGATTTCTCTAAATAATAGGCCAATAAAACCTACTTGATCAATACACTATATAATTCCACAATGTGTACCCTTTATTGGACTTTCAATATGAAGGCCAAGAATTTGTTGATATTAAACTTAGTAGATCTTAAACTTAGTTAGAGTGAATGATTTGGGTCTCTCCACTCATATGCTGAACCAAATTTCAGATCAGTTGACGATTAAATAAAAAATTTACAATGCACATAGGATTTAATCTATTATCTTTCTTTCCAATTCTTTATTGACATCCAAGATTGCTTCTCCACTGTTTGAACAATGTATAATTTTGCAAAAAAATAATTACAGAAAGGGGTCTGGTGAAAGTCGATTACCTCTAAACAATGTGTGGCGTAGGATACTTAAAAAATGAATCTAACTGGCATCCAAGCTTGCTTCTCCACTATTTGAAAAAAAAAAAACAATGAAAAAAAAATTAGAAAAAGGGGTCTAGTCAAAGTCGATTACCTCTAAAAAAAATGTGTGACGTTGGATACTTAAAAAATGAATCTAACTGGCATTTAAGCTTGCTTCTCCACTATTTGAAAAAAAAAATTTAGAAAAAGGGGTCTAGTCAAAGTCGATTACCTCTAAAAAAAATGTGTGACGTTGGATACTTAAAAAAAATGAAGCTCCTTTACCAATATATCTTCAAATCTATAGAATTAATTGATTAAGGTTTTGTAAAGTAGCAAGTGAAGGAGCAAAGAGTTGTGCAATGTCTTTCTGACTTAAATTGTAAAGCTTTCTATTTGTGGCATGTCGACTTTCACTATTGTGACATGTTTAAGCAATTATAAAACAAAGCAAATTGGGGTATGCAAGCTGTAAAATTAAGGGATGATAATGCTTATTGAAAAACTAACATGTATATGATTATGATCTAACTCAGTTAAATTATTCCCAGACATAAAGATGCCATATCTTTCACCTTTTACCTCAGGAGCTTGGCCACAAGAGGGTAAAGCTTTAACTATATCCTATTGAGCACATCCTGCAATGCAAAAGCATATAATTATATATAACGTGCCTACATCTATGCATATATAGTTAGATTGAGACTCGACATTAACCTCCCACTATCATAATGCAGCGAAAGACATAATAAAGCAAAAAACTTGAGAAAAATCAATTACCGGGAGTTTACAAATCATATGCCCACTAGAAAAGGAAATTTGATTTAATCTTGAAAAAGAATTGCCTGAAAAAAGTTTAGCCCAAAGGAAGAAAGATCCAAAAAAGTTGCTACTATAAAACTCTAACAGAATGAGAAGAATAATACCCAAATTAGATAAATAAAGGGAAAAATAGACAAAATACAACTTACTTTATTACTGAATATATACTCCCTTTGTCGATCACATTAGAAGAATCCCACAGATCCTCCTTGTGAAAAATACTGCAAAAATACAAAACAAACAAAACCTACTTAGAAGTAAATTAATAAAAATAAAATGCACAACCTGCACTTTTTCAAATAAACAAATAGCACCTTTTCTGGATGAAATTGTGAACCGATGATTTCGAATCCATAACCATGGTTTAACAATGTTGTTGCCGACGAACTTTTAGCAATTCAAAATTTTACTTCAAAATTGAACTCCGGAGTGCATGAATGTAGAATCATTACGGATACCTTGAGGGGGAGATGTGAAATTGCAAAAATTTCAAGCCCCACGCATTGAACAAAGTTCGTGATTAAGAAAAATAGGAAGAGAATCATTTATGAGGGATAGTCTAGAACGTGGGTCTTGTATCAGTTTATATGAGGGAGAGAGAGTGTTTGAGTTAGTTTAGGATTTTGTTTCCCACGTTTGAAAACAATCAATCATGGATTTTTATTTTTATTTTTTTTTTGCTTTATTACTATTTCTATGGCAAATTGTGTTTTGATGAATTTATAGGGTTATAATAAATTAAATAAAAACTAATGAAAAACGTGGGAGTCTATTTCCGGAGGGCCATTAGTAATAATTAAAGATGTCAAACGGGTCGAGTTGACCCAGTTCCAGACCGGCCCAGTCCGGTAGGTAGGGGCGGGCAGGGTTAGGTTGGGACGGGGAACAGATTGTGTCGGGTAGAATAGAGGTACCGGTTAACCGCACCAATCAGAACCGGTACTGTCAAGTCAAGTTCGAACCGGTTAACCGGATCGGCCCGGACCGGTTCAACGGGTATTTCAATTTATTTTTTTAGGGTATAGTTGACCATTGAAAACGGTCAGCTGCCATTTTGATCGTTGCCCAATGACTATTTTGCAAGAATAGCCCTTTTTGGGGGATTTTCTTTTCAAAAATAACAGTTTTAGTATTTACTAATTTAGCCCTTTAAAAACTATAAATATACCCCCCCTCCCCTCTTCTTCATTTCTTCACTCATCTCTCAATTCTCAAACCCAAATTCTCAATTGTCATTCTCTCATTTTTCACCTAAATTGCAATCAATTATTTGACTCTCATTTTTTCGAAATTTTATTTATGATATTATTTGAAGTTTGAAATTAGAACAATTGACGTTTCTTCGTGATAACATCGTAGTTGCGAAATTCAATTTCAAGACTTCAAACATCATCAAATGTTCAATTTACTGCGGAATTCGGTGCACTCGTTCCAACTCTTTCTCTTATTTAATATTTTATTTGAATATTTATTTTTTATTAGTAGTTAAATTTTCACAATATATTTAATGCTGCAAAAAGAGTTTGTAATAAGGTTGCTAATCGGGGTAATCAGGAAAATAGAAAAAGAGGTACTACTTCAACTTCTAGTAGTAATTTAAAAGACTTTACGCATGTTTCTGAAATATCGCATGATAATTGTAATGACACGGTCGGTCGTTTTGAGAGTATTAGCCCCGAACCCCTATTTATTGCTCCCTCTATTTCATTTTATGATTACGTAACTTGCCGGGAGGTTTAGTTTTTGGTTTCAGAGTGAAATGGGATATATAGTCCTTAAAAAATAGAAGTTTAAGTCGTAGAAATTAACCGTAGTTTAATTTGTGTGAAGACGACTCTAGAATGGAGTTATGACGGTTCCAATAGCCCGTAGGGTGATTTTTGTCTTAGGATCGTGTGATGTCCCAAAAGGTCATCTTATGTTTTAGAACTCGAATCTGCGCTCTTAAGCCTTAAAAATCTTATTTTTACCCTCCTTGATTTGCGTGCGAAATCCGAGCAGGTTCCCGGAAAGCTTTTATGTTGAAAATTGATGAAAATAATTTTTTTTTAACCTTAAAAGTTGATTTTAGTTGACTTCTGTTAATATTTTTGGTAAACGGGCCCGTATCCGTGCTTTGAAGATCTTGATAGGTCCGTATCGAATTATGGGACCTGGACGTATGCCCGAAATTGAATTCGGAGGTTCCTAACTTGAGTTATGAATTTTTGATGAAAATTAAAAGTCTAGAAATTATTTATTTTTAAGAATTGATTGATATTTGGCATTGTTAGTATCGGGTCCGTATTTTGGTTTCGGATCCCGTTACAGGTTTATTATGATATTTAAGACTTATCTGTGAAATTTGGTGAGAAACGGAGTTGATTTGATGTGATTCGGACGTCCAGTTGAGAAAATAGAAATTTTAAAGTGTTCTTGAGAATTTCGTTTGATTTGGTACTAAATTCATAGTTTTAGGTGTTATTTTGGCAATTTGATCGCGCGAGCAAGTTCGTATGATGTTTTTAGACTTGCGTGCATGTTTGGTTTGGAGTCCCGAGGGCTCGGGTGAGTTTTGGATAGGCTACAGAGTGATTTGGACTCAGAAAAATAGCTAGTGTGCTTCAGCTGTGTTGCAGGCCTCAAACCTCGCAAATGCGAGGTCAGGATTGGCATTTGTGATCACTGTTGAGGTCGCATTTGCGAACTTCTCATTGCAAATGCGAAGAGAAGTTGGGCCAGCCTATGTTCGCAATTGCGAACTTTTCTTCGCATTTGCGAGGGAGTCTAGGAGGGGTATGGATCGCAAATGCGATCTTTTGTCCGCATTTGCGAGGTCAGTGATCGCAATTGCGACACTTTCCTCGCATTTACGAAGGGCAAAAGGATTGTGAAGGCTTCGCAATTGTGATAGCCCCTTCGCAATTGCGATAGCCCCCTTCGCAATTGCGATAGCCGCAAATGCGACGTCTGCAGCTGAACAAAATGACTTTTGGACGGGAATTTTTATTCATTTCCCAAATTTTCAAGACCTAAAACACAAGAGGCGATTTTCCAAAGACCATCTCTTCCCCAAATCATAGATAAGTGATTCTAAACTGGTTTCTTTCAATCTTTCACTATATTTTATAAGATTTCAACCTAAAATCTAAGGTTTTCATGGTAGAATTAGGGGTTTTGGGTAGAAACTAGGGATTTCGAAATTTTGGGATTTAGACCTCAATTTGAGGTCGGATTCTAAAACCAATTATATATTCATGCTCAGGGATGAATGGGTAAATAGATTTTGGTCCGAAGCTCGGGTTTTGACCAAGCGGGCCCGAGGTCGATTTTTCGACTTTTTGGAGAAAAATTTGGAAAATTTAATTTATGCAATGTAATTGATTCCTTTAGCAATATTTGATATTATTGAGTTGAATAGATACGAGTGGTTTGGAGGTGAATTCCAAAGAAAAAGCTGTGATTGAGAATTAAGTAGCCTTCAGAGCAAGGTAAGTGTTGTGTCTAACCCTAACTTGAGGAAAATAGGAACCTTAGATTACTTGCTAAGTAAAATTCATGTGAGAAGCGTATATGTGAGGTGACGAGTACTTATGCGTCCCTAACTTACATGTTTTCCATGTTTCTTAGTTTTTCTTATATTGTCTCATTCCTATGCCTAATTGCGATGTGTTATATAAGTGTTGTTCAATTTATCGTCATTATCATGTTTACGGATTTTCTGGTGATAATTGAGTTTTTATTTCAAAGTTGAGATTGATGTTATGGAACCAAATGTTGAAGTAAGGTTTGTACTTGTTATTCTATCTCCCTGTTGTTACTTATGCATTGCATTATGGTAAAGGAGAGTGTTAATGCAGAAGGGTGATGCCGTGCCATATTGTGAGTGTTAATGCACGAAGGGTGATGTCGTACCATATTGTGAGTGTTAATGCACGAAGGGTAATACCGTGCCATATTGTGAGTGTTAATGCATGAAGGGTGATGTTGTGCCATATTGTGAGTGTTAATGCACGAAGGGTGATGCCGTGCCATGATATGAGAGTTAATGCATGAAGGGTGATGTCGTGCCGTTTCTATTGATTTTTATGGTGAGATTGAGAGTAAAAGCACGAAGGGTGATGCCGTGCATTTTTCCTTACTGTATTCACTATTCCTGTTGATTCATGCTATATGGACTGCTCCGGTGATCATTCTGTTGTAGTTCTTTATCTTGTATTCCCCTCGGTATGTTCCTCTCCCGACATTTCCTGTTTAGTTCTTCATTTCTGTTATTTGTATATACACTGTTAAATTATACAGGTTGATTTGTAGGTGCCTTGCCTAAGCCTTGTCACTACTTCGTCGAGGTTAGACTCGATACTTACCAGTACATGGGGTCGGTTGTACTGATACTGTACTCTGCACTTTCTATGCAGATTTTGATACCGGCTCGGGTTGATCGAGATTTTACCATTGGTCCATTGTCCGGAGACTCAAGGTAGATCTGTCGGTGTACACAGACCTTGAAGTCCCCGTCTATCTTTTCTGTTCTACTGTTTATTTCATTCAGACAGTTGTATCTCTTACAGACTATTACTTGTAGTAAATTCTAGAATGCTCGTGAATTGTGACTCCGGTTCCGGGTGGTAGTAATTAATACAGTTGTATGATATTACCCACTTATGATATTTCATCTTAGTTAATTATTGTTAATTACTGAATGGAAATAAGGAATTGGTTTAATGATTCTCTAACGTTGGTTTGCCTAGCAAGTGAAATGTTAGGCGCCATCACGGTCCCGTCGGTGGTAAATTTTGGGTCATGACAGTTGGTATCAGAGCACTAGGTTGCCTAGGTCTCACGAGTCACGAGCAAGCTTGGTAGAGTCTGAAGGATCGGTACGGAGACGTCTGTACTTATCTCTTAGAGGCTATGAAGTTTAGGAACAATATCACCCCTTTCATTCCTTATCGTGCGGCATTGATTTTGCTTGAAACCTATATCTCACATTCCTTTGTATCTACTCGTGTTTGATATTGCGCACTCTGTATCAGTTGTGCGTCGACAGTTTGTGATGCCGCAGATGAACTACGAGAGAGACAGAGATGCTCAACATTGCCTCAACGTGTGGTTCCAACAAAAGATGCGGACGTATTGAGAGATCGACCAGTGAATAATGTGAGGGATGCAACGAACCTTGGCATCTGGTTGATTTATACAAGCTGTGAAGGTTAATATTGTGGACCATCGGACGTGATGAACTATGACTTCGCACCGAGTGGGGGGGAGTCCACTATCAATGAATGGATTGCGAGTCATGTGTTATATCAGTTTTGGCCTGAAATGTATATATGTGGTACTGAAAGGTTCTCCCCAAATTTATATGTGTTTAAGGTTTGAGATTTTGTAGAGGATAGGGTTGGGACTTGCGGTATGTCCGCCTACGTAATAATCTTATACTTCAGTACCAAAGGAGTTAGAGAAATAACTTTAAATTTACAGAAAATCTACTCAGCGTAGACGTGATGGTTGCGGATTTTGGGATGCTTCGAAGGAAGTACAGTGGTCGACGAGATTCTGGACTATGTGTTTCGTGCCAAGATTTTCCTAAATAGATCTCTACTTGTGTGA